GTGTCTCCACATTAAGAACCCTAGAGCGTTCAACCTTTGTGTTCAGTAGTCCCTTTCTTAAATTTACCAGGTGTCTCCACATTAAGAACCCTAGGGTTCCCTTTTTGTGTCTCAGTCGCGTCTCTGCCTCCTCCTTTCTGTGATGCTTCGCCTGCCATTCCACCAAATCCAAGAGGCTGGCTGTCTCCCCTAGTGTCGATGGTCCCAAGATCGCCCACTGCGGCGGCGATAACTCCCTTGGTCCTCTTCTTGCTATCTGGCCACCACTCATGGTACCCAATTAGTTTGAAACACTCCTCTCAGTTGTGCCTTGAACCTCCGCAGTGCAAGCATTTAAGACCACTCTTATCATCCTCTCGCTGGAGTGAAGATTTGGCCCCTGTCTTGGCCGTGTCTGACCGGCTTTTGGTGGCGAGGTCGCTCCCTATTCCTGTGGGGTTTAACCCCGATGATGGCTCCCCTTTCATGATCTCTCTCCGGGCTATTTCTCTTCTGATCATCGCATGCGCTTCTTCCACCGTTGGTAGAGGATCTCAATTCAGGAGATCTCTCCTGTCCTTGTCATACCCATCATTTATCCCTGCAAGGAATTGATACAATCTGTTCCTTTGCATTTGCCCATTGTAGATCGTGATATCCTCAGAGCATTTTATGGGATTTGGCATTCTTCTGTCAATTTCCTTCCAGATAGCCAGAAGCTTACTGTAAAAATTCTCGATTGGATCTGAACCTTGCTTCAGGCTATTAACTTTCACAATCAGATCGAAGATCTGTAGACCATCCTGACCACTATTGTACATTGCCTCTATTCCCTTCCACAGATCTCTTGCAGTTGGGTAATCAAGATACTGGTTCACCAAGTCGAATTCTATATTCTCTATGATCCATATGATTACATTGGAATCTGACTGTGCCCATTTGGTATATTCTGGATCGGTGGTTAGTGGTGGAGGGGTTGTGATGTGTCTGAGCCTACCTCTCCCACTGATTGCCAAATACATCAGTCTGGACCATTTAGTATAATTTTGGTTGTTTAGTTTTTCTGAGTTTTTCTGAGATACTCACTGTTTGACTTGTTGTATTTTCTGTGGTAGGTTTGGTGTTGTTGATTTGCTGAAACAGTTCCAGTAATTGGCTCACTGGAATAGATTGCTCCATTGATTTTGTTGTAGACGAGCTAACTTCGTTTGACATTTTAAGTAAGTTTCAATGGTAGGTAATGAGCTTAGACAGAAACTAGGTCTAATGACCGAAAGACTGGCTCTAATACCATGATAGCTTTTAGGGTTAAAAAGAATTCTTTTTTCATACCTTTCAATCTGTGAATTACAGAGTTTATATACACAACATATAGAATATTTACCATAAAATAGGAATATTTACATAATTGCGCTCTGATCCTCTATCAGCCTCATTTTGCTTGACCTCTCACGACTTGCACATATATGGTATTTTCTGGTGTTTTGATCCTTTCCTTATTTGCTTGATCCAATTTCCTTATTTTTCTGATTCTTGATCCTTTCCTTATTTGCTTGATTCTGATCCTTTCCTTATTTGCTTAATTTGATCCTTTCCTTATTTGCTTGATCCCATTACCTTATTTTCCTGATTCTGATTGATTTCCTTATTCTTACACGTTCTCCGGCTGGCATAGCAAAACGCAAGGAGCTGCAGTATTGTTCTTCGATCGGGAAGGCGCCACTTTTCTTTTGTTTGTGATTTTTCGGTGAAACCAATCAAGAGCTGGCCAAATCACCTCTCATCCCATCGCCAACACCTCAACATCCACTGTTCCTCTCTTTCCTGGCCAAGCTAGCATCGATAGAATGTGATTTGGACAAAGAACCTGATCGTTCAACCCGAAGATTTACAATTTCTGACGTGTTTCTATGACTAGGGTGCTCTCTTGATGATATTTGATCTCGTTCAAATTTTTTTTATCAAGGATTTAAATCCCTAATTAGCTACTATTCGTGTAAATAATTAGTAACTTCAACTTTACTTTATAAATTGATATATGAACTGAATTCCTTTATATAGAAATAGGTAGACTATTGCTTCTAATATAAATTTTTGTGGAGAATCAAGGATTCATTAGGTTGATAGTAGCTAGTTAGCAGTATGCTTGTGTCCTTGACATGTGTTATGAAGGAAACCTTGATTTTTATCATTTCAAATGAACTATAAACTAAAATTTTATAAGGGAATCTATAAGCTAATATGTTTACTACAGATTTTGATTAAGAAATTAGGACGATTGTGATATGGCAGCAATCAATTGAACCATTTGTTAAAATTAGTACCATGATATGAGATATACGATATGGTAAATCAAATTTTTGTTAGTAACTGAATTAACTAGTATATATAGTATGAATTTGAGTTAAAAAAAACCTTGATTTTTTTTAGGCTGGCAGCAGTGAAATTATTATATCCAAGTTCCAATACACTGAGTTTGGATAAATTACCAAACAATTCAAGATTAGACCCTATAAAATTGCAACTATTGAGTTGCAGTACTTGCAACAACTTCAGATTCTTGAAGAATTCATTTTCTAAATAAATCGAAATTTTAGTTGAAGAAAGTGACAAGTATTTGAGTGAGATACTCCAATTTGATATGAAAGTGGAGCCAGTGAGACCTTCATTCTTTGATAAATCAAGAACTTTAAGGTTTGGAAGCTGAATTATATTATTTGGAAATTTTCCTCTTAATCTAGAATATGAAAGTGTGAGAGATGACAAAGAAGAAGATAAATTGATAAATGAATTAGGTGAAACCAAAGAGAGGTTTGTAAACGTCAAGTCCAACTGTTGCAATTTGGTAAAGTTTCGAACAAGCTTGTTAATGCTAGTACGAAACCGGCGGTTCAAGGGCCGCGTTAAGGTTTTCATGTGAATGTTAAAAAATGAACCTGAACCGGCCAGAACCTGTGGTTAACACGGTTTTAGGGTCCGGTTCGAAACCGGATTCACAAAAAAAATTATTGTTTGCTTAAAATTTTTAACAAAAAAATTTATATTAGTTGATTTTGATTTTGTTGTGTGAAAAAAGAAAAACAGGAATGATACATATATATACATAAAAGTAGTGAAAAAAAAAAAACAACATCATTAAAATCATTTGACTTAATGGTTAGAAAAAAAAAGGTTTCAAAAACTAGCCGTTTGAAACTATGCCTCATTTGAAAAGAAAAAAATTATGTTGTAAAAAAATAGTTCAAACGGCTAGTTGATGGGGCATTTTAAATTTTCTTTATTTTTGGTAAATAAATTTTATTCATTTTTAATTCATTTATTTATTTATTTATATTCTGTAAATTTACTAAATTATCTAAAAATATAGCTGTTATTTTTCTTGTTATTAAGGGACAATTCTGAAAAACTAATTAAATGAGAAACATTTTATAAATATTGATGAGTTTTGATGATTTTTTATTTTCACAATCAATTATATCCTAACTCTTCCTCTTATTCTCAATAGAAAATACCTCAAATTTCCATAGTTCATTTATTTTTTCTATGTTTTATTTTCCTTAAATATTTGGAATTTAATCTATTGTTTATTTTTATTTTTCTTACATCTAATTCCAAATTCTTTCTCTAAATCTTCAAATTTTTCACATTCATAAATTTACTTCATTTGATTGATTTTTTAAAATAATTCTTAGGTATTTGAAACAAATAATAATTTCCAAACTCTTCCATTAATTTTATATTCCATTATAAGTTTTATATTAGTTAATTAGCAGAGTTTTGTTAAAATTTTAATGTATAATAGGTTTCAAGTTAGTTAATTAGAAGTTTTTCTTTTAAAATTTATCATAATTTCATTTAGTTAATAAAATTTAAACATTTTAAATTATTATTTATTCATGAAATTCGGATTCAAAAATTTTTATTATTTTTTTTTAAAAGTTTGCGTAATTTGCCGGAAACCGAATTGGAACCGTTAATTTGAACCGTGTTTCACCGGAACCGTGCTGACCGTGCCGGAACTCGGTTCACCGGAACCGTGCTGAACCGTGCCGGAACCGGAACCGGACTGGAATTGAAGGTTCAAGGGTCGGTTCCGGTTTAAAATTTTAAACATCTCGAACCGGCGGTTCACTGAACCGGCCATGCCTAAGTAGAAGTTCTAATGGTCAAAATAGAATAAAAATGCAAATTGTTTTGTAATAGCAGCATGTATTTTGTTAATCTCATGACCTGTAGCTTTTAATATGAGTATATGAAGTGGTAATCAAGTTCTTAAATAGGAAAATGTGTTAAGCAACTCATTAAGTGTAAATTTTAATAAAAGACCTAAGGTTCCCTTAGTATGGCAGCAGCTAGTTGAGCCATCTACATTTGGCTTTAACTTAATGAAAAGGAGATAGTATTGTATATTTAAATTTGGATAGAGAATGAACAAGCTAAGTGAATAGAATATGGATTTTAAATATAAATTTAGAATTCTATTATTATAACTGTTTACATGTTACTCTATTGTTGAGCTTTGAAGATGATGAAATGAAAATTGATGCACAAATGAATAGACATAAATTCATCGTCAATATAAACAATAAGAAATTGAGGAAAGGTGAACTCACGTGTAGCCTGTGGAGTAAATTAACTATAGGAATATATTTTAGTTTAGTATTAGACTTAAATAATTATTATTTTATTTCAGTATTTAGTAGAAACATTGTTTCAGTTTCATGTTTAATTTTGAATAATGGATTTATATTTTTGCTATTAAGAACTATGCTTGTTCTTTTATAATAAAGAAATTTTTCATAGCTAATCTCATTTGATCTTCAAAATCTAAAAAACCAAGCTCAAGAAATTTTTTTTTTCAAAACCATATCATGGTCTAATTTTCGTAACAAGTTACTAGATTAAAATTAATCCAATGGATTATAATTAAAAAATCAATATCTAACAACATAAAATTATTTCTATATCAATACAGAATATTATCATTCTCCACCATATACGAAACGTCTTTCTCCACATTATACATGGGCCCTGCATTGCAACTCTTTTTCAATTAAAATAGTGCCGTGTTTATCATTCTCGAAGTTGAAAAATGACACATCTTCGCCACCGTCTCACATCCATCCTCGGCCACCGCTTCTCCTCATCCTCCGCCGCCAGAAAGAAGGTGCCCATTCTCTATGAAAGCCCAGAAATCAATGACCAAAATCGGAAAGACGTCGTGACACTACAGCTCCTTTCGTGGGGAAAAGGTGCTTCTGGCCAGCTTGGTGGCGGCATCGAAGAAGTACGACTATACCCAGTTCCAGTGGCCAATCTTCAGGTATTACCGTCCTCTTTCAGGCTCTCTCCGACCCCAGGCCAACTTCTTCTCAGAGATAACCGACCCCAGGACAAACTTTCTTCTCAGACCAGGCCAACTTCTTCTCAGAGATAACAAAATCAGAGATAACAAAGAAGTAATTGAAGTGGGAATTTCTTGTGGATTATTTCACTCTGCATTGCTTATAGATGGTAATTTCTGGATTTGGGGAAAAGGGGATGGGGGACGTTTGGGCTTTGGACACGAGAATCCTGCGTTTGTTCCTACGCTAAACCCTAATTTGGATAGCGTTCGGTCTATTGCTTTGGGTGGTATTCATTCTGTTGCCCTCACTTCCTTCGGCCAGGTCTTTTCATGGTCAGTACTTTTAATAGCGTCCTTTTATGAACTTGAATTGTAAAATATATTTTTTAACTCCCTATAGAAAGTTTTGATCTTTTTACTCTACGAAGAAATCAATTGTAAGTTCTGATGTTTATGCAAGTAGTGCTTGACACTAGGAAGTATTGGCTGTATTGTTATTGACGAGTTGCATGTATCTATTTCACTATATTGACCTGACTACGAAGTCGGTATACATAACTTGATAGTGTTGTGTCATTAAAATTGAAGTCTGCAGGGGTTATGGTGGTTTTGGTGCACTGGGACATTGTGTTTATCACAGAGAGCTGCTTCCTAGATTAGTTGAAGGCACTTGGAACGGAAAAATAAAGCATATTGCCACTAGTGGCACGCATAGTGCTGCTGTTACTGAATCAGGTTAGTAAATCTTTTCTTGTTCGTGTACTGAAAATAAGGATTTTAATTCTCTATGCAACCTACAAAGTTCACCTGTTAGGCATGAAATGGCCATGGCTTTTACAGTAGCAATTTGGCGATGCTTCACTCTGTTGATTTCAGTAATCATTTGGATGTGCATAGTGCTGCTGTTACTGAATCAGGTTAGTAAATCTTTTCTTGTTCGTGTACTGAAAATAAGGATTTTAATTCTCTATGCAACCTACAAAGTTCACCTGTTAGGCATGAAATGGCCATGGCTTTTACAGTAGCAATTTGGCGATGCTTCACTCTGTTGATTTCAGTAATCATTTGGATGTAGGGGAACTTTATACATGGGGACGGGATGAAGGCGATGGTAGGTTGGGCCTTGGCCCTGGGCGGGGCCCAAATGAAGGGGGTGGACTTAGCATCCCTTCCAAAGTCAAAGCATTGCCTGTTCCTGTTGCTTCTGTTTCCTGTGGTGGTTTCTGTACAATGGCGTTGACGGAGGATGGGCAGGTTTGGAATTGGGGAGGTAAGGATGTTACTTCCTTTTGCGTGAACTTTATGTTCTTTTTCCTTTTCTGTATTGCAATATAGATTCAAGTATTTTGATTTAATTTTGAAGAAAATCTTACGCACTAACTGTTGATTCAAATTCTTGCAAAAATCAAAAAGGTTATTGAATTTTCAATTGGTTGGATTAATTTTTCTCCATGGTCAAATAATATCATGTCCTTACAGTCATCTTGTTTTCTGTAAATAGCATAGTTATCTTATTGTGGAGGATGTTTTTTCTTTTTCAAATTGCTTCCAATAACTTTGGGGAAGGGTGGAAAGATGGAGGGCAAGGGTAGGAAAAAAGGCACCTTCCCGCTTGTAAGTCAATTACTGACTTTCAAGACAGCAAATCACAACTTATTTGCTGTAAATCGTGTATATGTTTTTTTATGTGGGTTGCAACATTTCTTATTAAGTCATTTTCTTCTTCCTCTTCCTTTTCTTTCTTTTTGTCTCTCTTTATCTTTTGAAATAGTGCTTTCTTGATTTTAGATTATACCTTAGATTCTTAATCTTGACTCTTGTCAATGAATCAAATATTATGCTAGGCGTCATTTGCTTCCGGGAGTGATTTTGTTGTGGCAAATGCCCTGTTCTTAATGTGCACTTCACTTCAAAATATATAGGGGCCCCACTTATGTGCAAAAATAAAATTCTTAGGCTTGCAACCATAAGGGCATAAGTTTAAACCCCTTTAGAGTAGCTAATTTATTTCATTGTGTATATCTTAGGACTGTCTCCTCTTTCTTTTTCGTTGACCCCAAATTCAATGAAATTATAACTGGGAAATACCTTGCTGCTTTGAGATCTTTCATTTTTTAGGTACAATTAAATGTTTGGATTTAGTTAGTAGAAACACAATCATTTGTTTAAAAGAAAAAGGAAGGAAATGCATTACTTTTAGATAAACGAGATGCTGCTGTGAGTTTTATTTTATTTTATTTTCTAAATCGAGGCAGAAAATTGTTAAGATCTAATATATGAATATGAATGTTAACTGGTGTGATCTGTTGATGCATTGCTAATTTTCAGAGCTGGAATAAATTTTTATTTGCTTCACATTTTTTATGATATTGAATAAACAAGTCTAATTTTAGCATTTTTATCTTTTACTCAGCAAATTCAAACTATGAGCTTGGAAGAGGTGACAAGGCTGGTGGCTGGAAACCAAAACCGATTCCTAGTCTTGAAGGGGTTCGTATCATTCAGATAGCAACTGGTGGATATCATTCTCTTGCTTTAACTGGTAAATGACTGCAAAATCTCATCATTAAAGCAAGACGTCCAAAGTTTTTCATCTATTTCTTTTCTGCTCCATTTGACTTTGCTGCCTTTTTTGTCTAGCATAATTTAATACTTTCATGGTTCCTTCTTGGTCATTATATCAGATGAGGGGAAAGTTCTTTCATGGGGCTTTGGTGGACATGGCCAGCTGGGCCACCCTTCAATTCAAAACCAAAAAACACCAGCAGTAATTGAGGCTTTAGCTGATCAACATATTGTTTATATTGCTTGTGGAGGTTCATCTTCAGCAGCTGTAACTGGTAAGATTGATGTGATCTAAGTAACCTTTTCTCTTCACTTCTAACACATTCTATTAGTTGATATTATCTTACCATATTGTGAAAATTTGAAGTACTGTGCTTTCATTTATCTTCATCAGCCTTAGATTGGTTAGACTGAAATCTTATATCTTAAGAATAATTGGTCACTTGCATTTAGTTGTGTTGGAGTCGGTTGCTAGTTGCAGAGTTGGGACAAGTTTAAGGAATTATAGTCACTTTGCATTGAAGTTCCTAAAGCTGAATTTTTTTTTATTCAATTTCATGTCCTTATAAAGTGCTGTTTTTGATTTTGAGCAGAAAAAGGGAAGTTGTATATGTGGGGAAATGCCAGAGACTCTCAATTAGGTGTTCCTGGTCTGCCAGAGGTACAGCCATGTCCTGTTGAGGTCAGGTTTCTAATGGAGGATGATGGCTTGGGACCCCATAACGTGCTGTCTGTCGCTGTTGGCGCATCTCATGCAATGTGTTTGGTTTCAAGATGAAGATGCTAAAAATAGAATCAATCGTATGGCTGTAAGATGCAGACTCTGCAAGGCTACGGAGGATGAATCGAAACCATTGATGATCTGAGTCGAGAATGATTAGTAAATGAGAAGTTTTGCATAGACATATTGGAGCTTCTTGTGGTTTTATCTCCATAATGTCATTTAACGCAACTCTATTCTTTCTTGTAAGTTTCTATTGCCTGTGTTTCTTACAGGTATAATTTTTTTTCAGCCGAAAGCAGATTACATGTTTCTCACCACAGGTGGAGAACTTGAGTTCCTTCCTTTTATGAATTGGAAGAGAGAATTGATGCAGAAAACTTTAGAAGTGATGAAATTTGATTGTTAAAGTTTCTTTCTACAAAGATGAAGAAATGGCTACAATGTAAATTGATATGATGTCCTTGGCTCTAATATCGAACTTTTATACACATGCATTCATTTTAAAAGGGGAATTGTTAAGGCAGACCGAAAGGCGTGAAATGGGAAAGTGAAAAGAACAAACACAAAGGTGAAACCTTTGCCTCTTTTGCCTTTAATGTTTAGATTAAAACAAAAGAGAAGCATAAATCTTAGATTCTTTGCTCCCTATTTTAACTCACTGTCAGGTCCTCCCATTTGAAAGTTAGACTTTCAGCCCATAGTGTATTTAATTGTTGAATTGCTGACTTTTTGAGTGGAATGATCCTATGATGAGCTTAAGCAAATGTCAAGAATTTTAGAGAAATTTATTAAACACGAGAGATAAAGATGTTAATTAGGATATAAGTTACGGACGTAAATGTATTTTTTTTCCTACCAACGATTGCCTTTTTAATCTCTTGAAAGTTGATATAAGGTAATCACAAATTTCAAAGTAAGATTAATTGAAAAAAGGGAGTGGATATACCTCATGAGAAGTTAAAATAAATAAATAACCCATCTCATATTAATTACATATATAATCATTTATTGAACAAATAATGATGCCAAAATAAAAATTCTCTACATTCACTGTCTGGTTTTTATTGATCACATTGTTGAAAAGCAAGCAACAAGGAGAGTAGGTTAATGGCTTATTGCCATCTCTTTCTTCTTTCTTGATAGCTTGTTCATTATATTATACGTTTCTCTCTCTCTCTTATATATGTTCATTATATTATACGCTTTTCTCTCTCTCTCTTAGTATAATATATATAGTATATATATATATATATATATATATATATATATATATAAAACAAACTTGTCCTAACTAAGCTATTCCATAAACCTATAGTAATAATGAAATTTGTAATTTTTGCGCTGTGCAACGGCAAGTTTAAATACAATGTTACTAATATATAAAACAACTGTCCTAACTAACAATTCCATAACCTATAGTAATAATGAAATTGTAATTTTTGCGCTGCAACCAAGTTTAATACAATGTACTATGTTCCTTAAAAAAATGATTGACATGTGAAGCACATAAACCTAAGGCCTAGAAAATCAAATTTCAATTTTTGCTTCACAAGTCAATCGTTTTTTTTAGGGCCTTGAATCATGCAACTAGGCTTATAATCCCCTCGATCAAGCATGAATTTGCATGAATCTCCATATCCACAGTAACCAGTTTCTTTATAATCCTTACATATGTCGGGTTGATAATCAAACCTTGCGGACACCCTAATGTGAGCAGAAGCCCTAAGGGGGCCATGAGAACCGTTTGCTCTCTTCTAAAGCCAGCTTTATAATCAGTATAGCCATTTATTCCTTTATACAACTTTTCATTCCTAGAGGCTGGATTTTTACACTTTAAAGCCTCCTCTGCTTGCTTAAGAGCCCTCTCACGAATGGCCTGACATCTTTTGAGAACTCAGTCTCAGTTTCTAGAGTTGCTGTTGCCTTACTGTCATGTTGAACTTGAATTTCCTTTGAAGACTCAGATTGAAAGATCGGTCTATCAGATTCCACATCTGATTCAGTGGCCTTGGACTTGTCGGAAGGTTTAGAAGAAAAGTATAGCTTATTATTGTCATATTTTGGAGCTTTTTTCTGATTGTGCAGCAAAAAGCTTTCTGAATCCTTATCTTCATCTTCCTCAGTTGTTTTCTTTCTTATATCCTTGTTCTTTAGTGGCTTCTTGAAGAATTACACACTGCAAATGCCCAAGACATCAAAGGCATTACTTATATTACCATAGCTGAAAAAAAAAAACAGCAAAAAAGAAAAAATTTAAAAGAGGGAGAAAACAAAGAAAGAGATAAAGCTCCAAGGTATACACCTGGTGCAGGTTGTTGGGATTCACCTAAATCAGCCATCTTCAGATGTGGAAGGAAAATTATAAGCAGGACTATATGAGATCTAGTGGAAAAGCACTCCTTTATAACTCTGAAAATAAATAGAAACACTACATCAGCCCCAAACACAATATAATTTCATAAAACGAGAAGACAACTACAGTGCAAATAGATTCATTAAATAAAACAGCACCAACGACCTTGCTTGGATATATAATATATCCATACTTTTGCTTTCAAGAACTCTCACAATATAAAATGCAAAAGCATAATAGTAGTAATGAATAAACCATTAGCCATCTAAAGGTTTTTAAACAATACATTAACACCATCGTTCTTCTCATTTTGAAACAAAGCATAAAAATTACATTTAATTAACCAAAACAAGCCCATAGAGATCATTTAGAACATGGGCTTAACAATTCCAATCTGTTGACTTGTTGTAATAAGCTTAGTTTATCTTAACCCAACTTAGGAAAATTTCAGATTCAACCGTCTTCTTTAGGCTAAATCATTAAAAATATCCCAAATTTTGTGGTTAATTTTAATTCTAGCATAAATTCAACTTTCTTTTTCTAGTATCTTGAATTTCAACTTTAATTATAATAGCACCATAATCTCAAATTGTACTCTCAATTTAATGAATAAAATATTATTTTCATGGGATCCATACTCTTTCTGATGGTCAGGTTAATCGGCCGTTGCTTATAAGTAAATAAGTATTTTATATTTATTTATATAAATATTAAAATATAAGTAAATAAGTCATATTTATATTTATTTTATATAAATATTAAAATAAAAAATAATATATTTCATCTCTTAAAAATTTAAAATAGTTTCTATTTATTTATATATAGAAATAATATATTCATCTTAAAAATAAAATAGTTTTATTTATTTATATATAGTATAAGTAATCATTCCCTAAAAATAAAATTAGACTGTAATGAATAACACATATTTTTAGAAGAGATCTGACTTAATTATAATTTCAATAAACCCTAACTGAAATTCTATGATTAAAAAATGGCAAAACAAAAACTTAAATTAATATTCTGTGCTTATAACTAACTAAAATTTATTATTTTACTCAGATTTTTATGAATTTATATTTCTAACCAATATTAGTTATTGTGTCGTTAAACAATGAAGTTTTGGTTAATCTAACCATGAGAGAGAGTATAAGTCCAACAAAAATAATATTTATTCATTAATTTGAAATCATGGTGGTCTTGTAACTAAAGTTGAAATTCAGAGTAATAGGAGAAGAAAGTTGAAATTAGGATACAATTAATTAAAATTGGTAGCAAAGTTTGAGATTTTTTTTAATGATTTAGCATCTTCTTTAAATAAGAGTTACAGCAAACTTACCTCGGTACAAGCTTTCAAAATTCCTTTTCCTTATCAAAGTCAGAACTCATCAAAAAATCCTAAAGCACTTCAAATATCTCCATCACTTCTGAATGCTGATTTTTTTTTTTATTTTAACCCGAAACTTATTGACCCGTCTAATTCAGATTTGTACCTAATATGCCCATAAAAGGGGAGTGAAACGTTCCATCTCGAGTGTTTAAAGGGACTTCATATCCAGAACTCGAATGCGAGATCTCTATTTACGAGAAAATGAAATCTCTTTCATTCGATCTCAACTTTCGGGGTACTTCTCAATCGTAATTTTAGTGCAAAGGCACTTCCTACTAATTATTTATAAAAACGAAAAAAAAAAAAAAGGCTTCACTAAAATTGCTAGTTCATTGGCAATTTCACTGAGTGCATGTTACTGAAATATTTTTGCACAATTCTATTGGTGATTTCAGAGCACTGTAAACTAAGGATACTTGTAGCCAATATTATTTTTTAATTTCTTTCAGAATCACATTAAGTTGGCAATCGTTTTTTCTTTTTGATTCACAGGGAGATCTATGTTGGTGGTGATGTGCCCACTCAATTGGGATCCACAGTTTGAAAAGAAAAAAAATAAAGAGAAAAAAAAAACATTCTGTTTGAAAAAGCAAAAGGTTGGTTGCCAACCATTCAAAGGTCGGCAACCAACTACGAAATTAATGGAGAGCCGTGTGTAACAAACACACGACTCTCGTTGTAACAAACACTAACGACTCTCTCATTTCCCTCTCCTATTTAGGAGAGGATGTTTCTCACGGTTTTAGAGAGTGACTACCAACAAAACGCGGAGAGAAGAATTTAATGAGTTCAGTTTTTAAGTAAGGGGTTTTTAAAATTGAGGGGTTTAGAAAATAGTGAAGGATCATTAACGGTGTTTTTTTGGGACAAACACTTGTGATGTGCCACTATTTGTATTACTTCTTTGTAAAGCCTACTACTTTTTTAATTAAGTGAAACGAAAAATATTACGGAGGTTGGTCCGTCCCGTGGACGTAGCCCTAAACAGTTGAGGGTGAACCACGTAAATTTCTGTGTGTCCCATTTTTATTTTTCCGCTGCTTAATTATTCTCGTATTTTTTATTTCCGGTATCCTAACAAATTTTTTACTCTTACTATGATGCAACATCAGGTATGGCATTTTATTTGGCGTTTGTCTTTACCGGATCCGTGGATATATTTTGAAAATAAATATACCACGACGAAGAGAAAATTACGACGAGTCCATTGGTGTTGTCCGCTCAGAAAGACGTTACAGAATCGACTTAGTGATGAATAGTAAAATAGTAACACGTGGTTGATGGTGAATAGTTACTATTGGCTTGTTGAGCCCGTCACTGTTAAGCTCAGCACTATTCACGTATAGTACTATTCACGTATATTACTATTTACGTGTATAGTTACTATTCTCGTATACTGATGCTATTCACATATACGATTACTATTCACTCAAAAGTCATGGAAGCTAGAACGAGCAAAATGATTTATGGAAGCTTAGAACGAGCAAAATGATCAGGTTTAAATGGCGGCGCCAATTACCATATACCTGGAGAAATAAAAATGAGAGGATCTCCTTATTTGGTAACCAAAAAATGCATCTTACCCGCTGTTTGGTTCAAGCAACCGAAAGACAGACTTGCATGAAGCGAATGGGACTTTCGAAAGGCATGAACCAAGCTTTTGTGGGTTATACTTCGACAATTTGCGATTTGATAATGTGCTAACAACACACA